GTGTGATTTCTTATTCTTATCACTCACCCCAAGTATTGCAAGATTCATAGGTTCCATGTCTTCATTTGCAATATCTAACTTACTCTTCCTGATTCATGCTTCTCACATTCCATGTTTCTAATGTATGTGTTGTCAATATTTTTTAATGTATTTTCCAGCACGACAGGGGTTGGACTGGATGCCCTTTGTGGTCTCCCAACTATATGATTCAGCCTTTTTTTTCACCTCTGAACATGTCAACAGCTAAATGTCCTTTCAGCTTGTGTCCAGTTTCATCATTAATTGCACACTACTCGTACTTGTCCTCCAATTTTCCCTAGTAGCTTGTTGAGGGTCTTCCAACACCATCTTATGGTTCTTATGTTTAAAATATTGAAAAGCAGTTTACTATTACCTCATTCCTTAAAGGAAAAAACCTTGACAACGTTAAGAAAAGGAAGACATGGCAATGCTTCTTTACATTGTCAGTGTCTTCCACACATTTACCTATTATGTAATATCTAAAAATTTGTCTTGACATTAGATTTAGGGCTTCTTCCTTTATGATGTTTGAGTATGTACACCACTCAGCCCTAGGCAGAAGACAGTGCATTTATGTGGGGTTAGGACTAGAAAAAGTGAGGACAGATGGTAAAGAAGAAAATGAGCAAAACAGATGAGGTAATAACCTTTTGAAACAGGGACTTAAGTAAAAAGCCAGCAGGGCAGGACTGAAGAATTATTTCCACTTTCAGGTATGCAACACTCTTGTGTCAAAGAGAACTCCTGAATTAAAAATCATAGAAAATATTAAGTAGCCTCCACTTTTTATATAATAATGATGAAAAAACATTAAAGAAACGCTAATCCATGTATATTTGAGTCACTTTCTTAGTAAAGTGGCCAAGATAGATTCTCCGAAACTGAACCTCTTATTAACTTAGCCAAATCATTGCTCAACAATTGTATTTAAAAAGGAGCCAAGTGGGACTAGCTTTGAAGCTTGAAATCACAGCAGTGTTTTCCCACCACAATCTTGTGCTTAATTAGAATTCACCAATCATTAGTCATCTCTGTCCTTTGCAAAAAAAATCTCCCTGAATCCGACTGAACTTCGATTTTCAATTCTGTTCCCTTAAAAACAACTAAGAAATTTACTGGCTGGCATTTACACTCATCTTCAGGAATATAGTTACACATTGAAAGGTATAGAGGTACCATATAGTTGGAAATATGCCTAGATGGTAATGCATGTACTGACAACCTAAAGGTAGACTTTTGCAATGTGATTTACATTGGGCTACTGTTGTACCATGTTCAGAAACTTCAATTTGTTAAAAACACAGCAGCCACACTAGTTACAGGAACATCGAAGAGTAAGCATTGTACACCTATACTACAGTCACTCCACTGGTTGCAATTAGTTTCTGGGCAAAGTACTAAGTGTTCGTTTTGTCCTTTAAAGTCCTACATGGTTTGGGTCCAGGATTATTTATTTATTTATTTATTTATTTATTTATTTATTTATTTATTTATTTATTTATTTATTTATTTGCAGTATTTATATTCCACCCTTCTCACCCCACTGGGGACTCTGGGCAGATTACAATGTACACATATATGGCAAACATTCAATGCCAAAGACACACAACAGATATAGACAGATTGTTGTTGTTGTTCATTCGTTCAGTCGTCTCCGACTCTTCGTGACCTCATGGACCAGCCCACGCCAGAGCTCCCTGTCGGCCGTCACCACCCCCAGCTCCTTCAAGGTCAGTCCAGTCACTTCAAGGATGCCATCCATCCATCTTGCCCTTGGTCGGCCCCTCTTCCTTTTGCCTTCCACTTTCCCCAGCATAACTGTCTTCTCTAGGCTTTCCTGTCTCCTCATGATGTGGCCAAAGTACTTCAACTTTGTCTCTAGTATCCTTCCCTCCAATGAGCAGTCGGGCTTTATTTCCTGGAGGATGGACTGGTTGGATCTTCTCGCAGTCCAAGGCACTCTCAGCACTTTCCTCCAGCACCACAGCTCAAAAGCATCAATCTTCCTTCGCTCAGCCTTCCCTAAGGTCCAGCTCTCACATCCGTAGGTGACTACAGGGAATACCATGGCTTTGACTAGGCGGATCTTTGTTGCCAGTCTGATGTCTCTACTCTTTACTATTTTATCGAGACTGGACATTGCTCTCCTCCCAAGAAGTAAGCGTCTTCTGATTTCCTGGCCACAGTCTGCATCTGCAGTAATCTTTGCGCATAGAAATACAAAGTCTGTCACGGCCTCCACATTTTCTCCCTCTATTTTCCAGTTGTCAATCATTCTTGTTGCCATAATCTTGGTTTTTTTATGTTTAGCTGCAACCCAGCTTTTGCGCTTTCTTCTTTCACCTTGATTAGATAGACAGATAGTCAGAGGCTATTTAACTTTTCTGGCCACCAGGGGAGCTGTCGCTTTCATCGTCCATCTGTGACACTGACGAAGTACTTTCTGCATTCCCTGCATGCTTTTTGCTGGAGTGCTTTGCTGGAGTCCTTTTTATGGCCTCGTTAATTAGTTAAATTAGCATCTCCACACATAGGTGGTACCTAATTTTCCTACTTGGCAGGAGGTTGCAAAGGTCGACAACAAGCTACACAATTGGTCGGAAGCTCACTCCAACCCAGGCTGGCTTCGAACTCATGACCTTTTCGTCAGAAGTGATTTTAATGCAGCTGACACTCAGCCAGCTGCGCTACAGTCCCGGATTGCCTTCTCCTGTACAATCCACTCCAGACACTAGGTCCTCGGGGGGGGGGGGGGTGTCAACTCCAGCCTGCCAGAACCTTACTGGCATCCACCATTCAGAGGACTTTTTTGTCATCTGCCCCAAGACTGTGGAATGACATACTGAAAAAGCTAAACCAGTTGTCAGAATTTAAAACACAATTGGACATCTATCTCTTCTTGCAGGCCTACCAGATCAGTTTTAACTTGTGAATTTGCGGGGTGAATTTAATCTGCATTTTATCTGTGTATGTTTGTTATATGTGTTTTGTTATATTTCACGCTTATGACCATGTTGTACCTTGCCTTAAGTCACAAAGAGAGGCAAGGAAATAAAGAAATTATTATTATTATTATTATTATTATTATTATTATTACTACTACTACTACTACTACTACTCTTCCTTTGTGATACTTGCAGAAGGCAAAACATGAACACAGTGGTTATTAATTCACAATACAGGCAGTCCCCATGTTACAAACATCCAACTTACAAACAACTCATAGTTACAATAATAAACCTTTATTTCTATACTGCTCTATCTCCCTGAGAGGATTCATGGCAGTTTCCAGCATGGTAAGCATTGCACTTACTGACATAAAAGCATGCAAAAACATTATGACCATACAACATACAATGTTCCCCTGCTACTTTGCGATTCGCTTATTGCGGGCTCGCTGTTTTGTGTGTTTTTCCTCTCGTCATCTATGCAAGTGTGAGGAAGGGTTTTTTTTTAAAAGTAATAAAACTGGAGGAGGGGGGAATACCACTCTTCTTGGCTACCAAAAGAAAGACTTGGATTTCTTAAGGACTTTACCCTGGGGCTTGTCTCCGTGAGCACTGGAGGCAGCAAGGAGGAGGAGGCTGCCGTCAAAGAGGGCCGCACTGAGGCCCAGCCCGGAGACAAGCTCCAGGGTAAGGCCCAGCACCTGGCTCCTCCTCCTCTTCCTCGTCCCTACTTCCTCGTCCCTTGGGCGCCGAGCGTGAAAGACCAGGCCTCAGCCTAGCCTGGCAGTGGCGTCAACAGTGCCCAAGGGGCCTCCAAGGAAGGAACAGGGAGCAGCAGAGGCACAGCCCAGAGACAAGCCCCAGGGTAAGGCCCAGCACCTGGCTCTCCCTCCTCCTCTTCTTTGGAGGTCAGGCTTGGCTGAGGCCTCAGCACCGAGCACAGAAGATCAGGCCTCAGTCCTGCCTGGCAGTGGCGTCAACGGCACCCAAGGGGCCTCCAAGGAAGGAGCGGGGAGCAGTGGAGGTGACGAGGAGGAGGAGGAGGCCATTGCCAAAGAGGGCCACGCTGAGGCCAAGCCCAGAGACAAGCCCCATGGTAAGGCACAGCACCTGGCTCCCCCTCCCCTCCTCCTTTTCCCCCTCCTCTTTCTCATCCCTACTTCACAGAGTTTCATTTATTGCAGGTGGTCCTGGGATGTTACACCTTCAATAAGTGAGGGAACACTTTAGTACTATATGACAATCACACATATTTAAATTAAAACCAATCCAATACTCATTACATTAGGCACCTCAGCTTCCAACCGCTAAGATTTCAAAGTGGGCCTCAACAGCTAAGAGGGCTGGGTTGGCACACAGGGGTGAGACAACAGGAAATGAGAGAAAGGGAAATTCACTTCTGAAAGAGTTATTTTGGGGGAAAGGTGTCTACACTGAAACTTCCACACCAATCCTTGTTTCTCCAACAAGCCATTTTTTTTCAAAACCCAGTTATCATAGGGACAGAAAGGAAGGTCAAATCTTCTGAACTGGGGCAGTGGAAGCAAAACAAACACCACATGTGTGTTAAACTTTCCCTTTGCCATCCAAAACTGTGTCTGTGTGTGGGGGGTGGGGGTGTGTATCTGTTGATTGACTGGAGTTATATTTTAAAAATGTATCTGTTCCAACTTGCATACAAATTCAAGATCAAACCTACAGAACCTACCTTGTTCATAACTTGGGAACTGCCTGTATATATGAGACAAACAAATAGTTTTCTGTGTAGACAATGCTGATCTGGTATCTTAAAAATCAATTATGAAACCCGAAAGATATTGCTGAACATTGTGAAACCTGTTAAAAAGTCTGTCCAAAATAAAGAGCATTCATGAAAAACTATGGGGGAGATTTGGATTGAGAATACAAGCCTCTATTACTAGAGCAACCAAATGTGAATTGGAAGGAAAAATGATTATGTCACAGTGAAATCTATTTGTGTCAAACACTACAAGATTCATCTCACAAAATACCATATATGAATTAACTTACAAAATCTGCTTCAAGTTTTTCCATTTCTTGTTTGTAGCTTCTCATTCTACTGCTATACATGGCTCGGCTCTGTGGAGGGATTTCTCGAACTTCAAGCTCCATTTGTTCCAACTAGAGTTTTAAAGATATGAAGGGAATGGGTGTTAAAAAGAAGACAAATTGATTTGATGTGCATGAAATAAATCATCCCAGACAGACTTTTTAAAATATACATCCAATGAGATAGACAAATAGATAGGTAATGTAATTATGCCCCATAAATGTCCCTAACAAGCTTAAGGATAAATTTACAGTAGTAGGAGTTTTCACTGACTTAGATAGAGGTTCTACCTCCAGTTGTCAGATTTACATATGTGTGCACGTATACATACTTTCAAACTGCCTGCCAATCTAAGGTGACTCTGTGAATTTCATAGGGTTTTCTTAAGCCAAAGGAAGAAAGAAACTCAGAAGGGGTTTTGCCTGTTTCCTCCTATGAAATATAGCCTAAAGCACCTAGCATTTATTATCAGTTTTCCATAACCTTGCTTGTCTTCAAAATTCAGATGTATATGGTGCCTTTGGGGTATCAGTATACATTTTTAGAAGTGGGATTATCTATGATACATATACCCATTGATGAAAAACGTGCACAATGAGAACAGACTGACTCAATCATAGCATTACCACCTTATCACACTGGGGTATTTTGGCCCCTTGCAACACTTTGGAGACGGGGCCTGCCGAGTACCATCACATGACAATCGGCAAGCCCCAACCCATTTATCTTCGAAAGATGCTTCCTCAGCCATTGCACCTTGGTAAGTGTTTTTCGGGTAGCTCCAATTGAGCTACCCTCATTTTTCAGCCATTTCCCCCGTCTGTTGGGGAGAGGCTGGCAAAGCACCTTGTTCCATTCCCCTGGTCTGATAGGCAAAGGAGGAAAGGTATGCAGGGCGCCCGCACAACTACCATTTTGTTGGCAAAACAGTACAGGAGGGTCTGCAGTCACTATAGCAGCACTCTCCATGTTATTACTTTAGCACTCTTCAAACTATTAAACATCTCTATTGCAAAAACCCAGCAATAGTGCCACCTAAAAATAATAACCTCAGAATACCAGTTAATTCCAAACTGAATAGCATTATATACAACGTTAAATTCAGCAACATCAATTAACTCTGGAACCTCTCTGAAGTCTTTTTTAATGCTGATTTTGATGTCTGCCACAGAGTACCCTGGGAGATTTAATGTTTTTCCATTGTTTCTGATGTGTGATACGTTTATTTCTATCTGTTCCCTTGTGATATGTTTGTTCTACAGGGCATTTTTAGCAGGTAATGGACACTTTCTGTTGGAGGACAAAGGGGTCAAAGATGTCAGGACTAACTTATTTAGTTTCATTTTTATGAGATATGGCTAATGCTGTATGTTACCTTTAAATGTGCGTACATCTGATAAAATTCAATGTCAGATGTTTTCTCTTTCATACACAACTCCTGAATATATTGGAATTCACTTAGCTGGGATCATTCAGAAAATCTAGAGGGATCCTTCAAGAGTAAAACCAAGAATGTAATTCATAATAATAAGGTAATGCCAATCATTTCCTCAAGTTTATATTTCAAAATAGAGACATGGTTACTTTGGTGGGATGCACAATGACAACATTATTTCGTAGTTTTAGCATTCCTATTAACTACTAATACTAGGCTCCTCACTAACATGGGGTGCATTGTGGAAAGAAAATGGCTCCCTACTTGTCACATTCCTAAAACAGAATGTTATCAAGAATTAGTGTATATATTCAGGAATATTCATAAGTCAAAGGCAGGTTTGGGGGCCTGTAGATAAGTCAAGGATCATTCTGAGGAAACAGGAAATTTCCAGTGTCACCTCATGGGGTCTAACCATTCTTGGTCAATTTCTTCCTAATCTTCAGTTTGGATTGCTACAAAATAAAACAGATTGTATGACAGACTGTGCACCAAGTACTAAGTACGATTACTCTTTCTGGCATCACAGCAGAAAGAGTGGTAGGGCTCAGTGCTTCTTTTAGGTTCTCTCAGCATGAACATAGCTCTTGTTTTTTGCCACTCTACTCAGTGAAGGGTTGGTTCCATTTTTATGTAAGAGTCAAGGTACACCACTCACACTGATCCATGAATAAGTCCACCCAGGTTTTAGGGATTATTTTTACTGACTTATACATGAGTATATAAAGTAATACTCATATATTTGGAAATACTGTATATATTTGTGTATAGGTTGACTTGATGTCTAAGCTGAGAACTGATTTGGAGGACAAATTATCGATTTTGATATGATCCATTAATAAATCAAAGGTCATTCTATCAACAGGGAAAAGCACTAACTGCCCCTGGCTGCTATTTTCCTACCAAGACATTTTTGCCAGTCTGCTCAGAATAAAAGTTAAAGTACACCATTAACCCTGATCAAAAATAGGAATTGGTCCTTTCTAAGTAAAGTGGCAAAAAGCAAGAGCTTATCATCTCAAGAAAATACAAGAGCATACAACACCTCTACACATATAAAGTAGGCTCTCTAGATCTGTGACTGTTTAGGTCAGGGATCTCTCCTCCAATGCAAAAAAAAAGCAGGTGATCATGACTCATTTTATGAAATGGTGGTGATGTGCATGCAAATGCTTCAGTGTGTCCATGTTCACATTACTGCCATTTTATGTATAGGCTGGGACAATCCTCAGTGGATGGAAATCTCGGATCCAGAATTCATAGATTTAGGAAGCCCACTGTACATTTGCTCTGTAGTGTTGGTTCCACTACAAGGCCCCCAAAACATTTAATATGAAAAAATACTTTGGGGGATAGTGGACATTAATAAATATGTGCACATAATTGTTCACTCTCGTGTCTACCATCATAAATTCTTCAAGAAATATAAATGATCTCTAGTAACTAAAATGATTATATGCAGTTGGGACACAATGTTGTAAAAGTATACTAAGGTGTCTAACCCCTGACTTAGCTTAGCAGCCTAAATCTATATCTAAATCCAACCCTACAGAACTCTTGTCTGTGAGAACCATAGGCTTTGGGTGGCAATGTTTCAGATTTGATTTTTAGTGCAGCCTGTTCCAGAGACCCTTTTAATGAGTTGTGTTCCTTAGCCAGTTTTGTTAAAATTGATTTTTATATGCAAGCCTTGACATTAATCACCAACATGTTAGATAATTGCTTAAAGTCAGTAATTGCATTAAGCACCTGTCTAGAAGCGGTAGCAGCAAGATCTGAAAACAACAGCATGAACGAAAAACGAAGTGCATTAAATGAAGATCATCATTAGGAAGGAAATGTTAAAACAGGATATTCTTTTTAATCTTAGAGAAAAGTCAGCCAATTTTGTTCATATTATGACACAAGGAGGAGGAAAAATAATGAGCTGTTAGCTTAACTTCCACTCATTCTAACATTTAAAAACGGAGGACTATTTTGCAGACAGAAGTAGATGTGAGTGATTTGTTACCACAAAGAGACAGTGTCATTTTTTTGTATTACATTAACTGGAGTTCTTTTTTCTTAAAGGGCTCTGGTTGAAGGAGAGACTGTCCTATAACTATTCAGTTATCAATGCCTTTTAGAATTAATAATTTACCTTTATCACTTATGCGAGGTATGAAATTGTCATCCTTACATGTTGATCAAAGAAGCTAAAGAACAGATTAAATGATTTGTCAAAGGTCAGAGTATTTAATGTGGATTGCTTTAATGAATCCACAAGAGGAATATGATGGACAAACATTCCCTTGTGGAGCTCAACAACTGAAAGATACATCACTCATTTTCCCAATTTAATAACGGTGACCCATTTTTCTACTTAAAAACATAGGCGATCATGTGAATTAGTGCTACAGCTCTAGTTCCTATTCCAAACTGTGCTGCTATCAGATTGATTGTTGTTAATTTATTGCTCTCGGAGATAAGGTTCCCTGTTGCAATCAGACTTTAAACACTTCTCATACCCTTTCAGTTTTCTCCTTACACGCCTCTACAATTCAGTGTGAAACTTGAAATATAGAACCAGAAAGCATTATGCCTCATTTATTCTGGGAAAGCTCTTTTGAAAAAAAAATAAGCCAATGAAGACTCAAAAAGATGAGCATAAAATAACTTTATAGATAAGGTTTAAAAGGAAAAGAAACTTCAGGTGCAGTCTATTGTGGAGGTCTAGAAGAGATCTACGGTTAATGGGCTCCTAATTAACCTCTTATCTAAACAGTGGTCAGGATCTCAAACTGTTCACGCAACAGATTGCAGCAGCACCAGGGTTGCTTATTTTGGGATTTGGTGGTGGGGGGGGGGGTCATTGCCACACATTGGGACCTTATTGAACAAAGAGCAATGCCATTTTCTCTATGGTAATCACTGCATAAACAGAATGCTGCAAGGATCAAGCTTTACTACACACAAAGGGGTTTTAAATTAGTGTTCATTTAGCTCATAGGCAGGATTGATTTGTTATTGTATTCAGGTTTTTTTAAAGACCTAAATCAAAAGTCTAGACTACCATCACAAGAAGATATCAAATATATCAAAGACCATTGCATATGATCTGTTACCTATTTGAAAAAAAATGATGATGCACTTGGGTAGATTCCTTTCAATAGAATTTGGGAATCACGTGTCCCTCCAGATGTTGCTGAATTTAGTAATGGGCTAACCCCAGCAGATTTAGCCAATGGTGAGGAAATCTGGTAGTTGTAGTTCAGTAACATTTCGAAGATCACATAATTCTCACCCCGGGCTACACAACACGTGAAAATAATTCTAAATGCTTAGAGAATTCCTCCTCAAAGAGGCTTACAGTAGCAATCCCCGCCCTAGCTTTCTTTCAGCTGCTAGGAAAATACCTTTTTCACCTGGTTTTGATTGTTTCATAGTTATATACTTTCATGGTCTGTTTCTTTTTATATATTGTTTCCTTTTCATTCTCCTCTTCTACTAGTGTGTGTGTGTTATATTATATGCCACCCTCGAAACATTTTGCATGGAAGGGTACTTTATAAATTTACAGCATAATGGTCTATATTGATTTGCAATCATATTGCCATAATTCTAAATCATAAATATAAATCACATAGTGATTAAAAGAATCATAGCATATAAAATAATGGCCTAGATTCTGTTTCAGGGGATATTTGTCTATCGTGTAGCTAATTAATGATGATGATGATGATGATGATGATGATGATGATGATGATGATGATGCTTTATTGATATCCTGCTCCCTCTCCCTGAGGGGACTCAGGGAAGCTTACAACAAGGAAGAACAATATAAATAGTAATCACACAAACAAATCCAGAGATTAAATCAGAACAACAAATCAAAGGAAGAAATCATGATACATAGAGAAGAGTAAATGGCAATAAACATGTTAAATATAACTCAAAAAACATCGCCCATAATTATAAAACTATGTAATAATTAAACATGTAGTACACTAAACACTTAGCTACATCTCCATAGTCATGTCTCGTGAATTAAGAAGCAGAACACTGTCCTACTGCCATTTCCACGTTGTTGGAGGGTCAGTAGGGATGTGTTCACTCTTTTTGCTGTAGATGGACGTACAGTGAAAGGTATTTGCAGAGAGCTCCAAGACTGCTCAGGTCATCCCTTCAGGTAACATCCTTATAGCATGTCCAGCCAGAGGAAAACAGCTGGTTATATTCTTGCTCATCCACCCACGCTCCAAAAACATAGAAATGTGAGGGGGAGGGGGTTGCAAGGCTTGCGAGATGTGTTTTGGAGAAGAGTTTTGATTATTGCGTGGTAGGAACAGAATTCTGACCTCTGCAATTACCAGAAAACATAAGCTGTGATGGCGTCATAATTCATTGAGAGGAAATCAGCCATTGTCTTAGAATCATCAAATTTCAATTGTCTTTACCAGCTACAATAGACCCACCAAATCAATAGCTGAATAGTAATTCAACATTGACAGAAATCCCAAAGGATCAATTGATATTCACTAGCTTTGACGAGCAAGTCAATAGTTATTTCCCAATGTCTTCCATATATTAACACAGATCCACGCCGTACATGAAACCCTCAACAGATTACTGTATCATGCAAGTTAACAAATTTAGAAAGGGGAAGGATTCTAAACAACTTTATACCAGTATCTGAATATTTCTCTTGAGAAAATGTCTCTAATTTCAGAATTTATTCACCTTTATACTCGAGTTATCGTATTTTAAAAGTTAGGTGTGTTAAATCTAGCTTTTAAATGAAGTGTACTGCTCTTGAGCTGTCATTTATTATGTTGTCTTATGGAACTTTATTTTATTATTTAGTGCTAATCTTTTGTTAGCTGCCCTGGACTTGAGAAGTAACAGCTGGTATTCAACTATAGTAGAGAAAAAAACAGACAAAACAAAAAGTATGCCTAAATTCTTTTGTTATTACCAACTAAAGTAGAAACCATGGACAAATGGGATTTACCTATAGGCAGACTCATTGTTAAAAAGTTGATTAAATGGATCTAGTGTTCAACTTAACTAATAGGATTCAGGCAAAACTGTGAAAGGGAAAAAGGTAGTAAAAATGCCAGTAACCAAGAAATATTCCTAAAACAATTATGTTTTTGAGGATAGAAGTTATATTGTGACTCCCCACTGTGACAATCATGCACTGTTTAGTACTGTGCAAGACTTTGTATTAAGTATGTCTGCATAAGTTAAGTCATCTAGACCCATACCAACTTTAATCAATGAACATGACCCTGCAGATCAGCCATATGCTGCACAAGTCACTGTAATAAAGGATCTTCCTCAGATGGTTTTTATTACTCTTTTTGACCCCAAATGTGTTTATTTTATATATATAACATTCTCAGGTTATACAGGGTAATATCAGGTATGACCAAGTTTCTCAGAGTGTCTCAACCCACATAGCACCAAGCTGGCAAATCCTCATATTGTGGTTTTAAAATGTGGGGTTGAGGAGCAAAGATTTTTCCCTAACTTCAGAAGACGCAATCAGTTATCCAAGCTCAGTCTGTACAATGTGACAAACAAACACAGGCCATCTGGGATCCAACACATGCTCATCTGCCTACCTTTAATTTTCATTGCCTGCAATCTCTTGCTACAATAGTGAATCTGGGCCTACAATGACCGTCAAAAGTAGGGGTGGAATGCAGGGATATATTATGCATTGGAGAAATGAGCATAAAGCTTAGAATGCTTTCTATGACAAAGTGACAAAGAGCACATTTTTAAGACATAGAAGAACAAAAAGACCCATAGAACAGAGAAACAAGGAAATGGAGCGACAAACATAGAAATGGGCCTGTGGGCAGTGTGCCAAGGATGAAAACAATTTCCTCATTTTTAGGGGCAACAAGTGATGAAAGCTGACTCTGGAGACCATGGCTCAATTCCCCACTTGGCCATGGAAACCCACAGATGAACGTGAGCAAGTCACTCAGCCTGAGGAAACTCTATAATAGCATTGCCTTGGGGTCTCCACAATTTGGAAACTATTTAAAGATGCACAACAACTCATACATAGCAGAACTCCCCCAAAACCCCACAGCCCACAAACAAATTAGATGGCCACCGGGAATTGCTAGGCCATTTCTTGCCCCAAAACCATCACAACAGCTTCCCAATCACTCCCACTCATGTGGTTTGCATTCTTTCCCCACAACACCTCAGAAAACTGCTGACATGCTGCCAACATACCAAAGTGGCCCACAGGGAGAAACTGCCCCTATCCAGGTGCAATACCAGAGAAGCTTTCTCAACCTAGAACTCTTAGGTTGTTTTAGTCAGGTCAGAGATCAGGCTTCTTTTACATGCTAGCATGTTAGAGAGACCCCAGACCACTACGACCAACTTGCCACATTATATTGACTCCTGCCCTTCCTAGCTTACTAAAAGATGCTAGGAGAGACTGGCAAAGTGGGTAGAGGGAATGGCCAATTATTCACTAAAACAAGGAAGATTACATTTCCTTTGAAAACCCAGATTCACAGCTTGGGTTTACTCCTAAATTCAACCTTGGGTCTGGAATCAGGTGACATTGGTGGCCAGGAAGGCATTCAGCTACACGTATTCATAGAGACATGTGACAAATAAGTATACTATTATACTGCTTGCTTTTTTCATAGTCATACTTTCAAATGATTTTAAAACTATTGATTGTTTAATTATATTCTCAACTGTATGCAATTTTAATTTGTATTTCTTTATATACTTATTCATATATTTGTCACTGTCCACCTTTTAACTTTTGTAAGACACTTTGAGTTCCTGGAGAATAGGATAAATAATAATAGCACTAATTCAACTCCCAATAGCCTTAGTTACTGTGACAGAAAATATGGGAGTTGCTGTGATAAACATCTAGGTTTGGGAAAGCATGTACTGTGGAATGCAGGAAAAAAATCTCTTATCTCAGTCTTTAGCCATCTATTCCTACTGTCTTTTCTTAATATCTTCACCAGTCAGTTTCTATTGTCTCTCTCTTCTGTGGACACTTCCTGACTTTCAAGAGTTTCCTTCCAATAATCTTAATAAAAGTCGGGACATCAGCAGCACTTCTTAGAGAAGTCAAACTTGGCTATGGTGCCATATGCCTTAATTACATCTGCTATAACAGGTCCAAGATACAGCAAATAGGTGAAGCTAGTAACAGTGAACATGTAACACTTGTTGAAATAGATTTTATTTCCCTATATAAATCTGCCAGAGTCTTTCCACAGAGAAGGATATTTTTTCCGGTCCTGCAACCATCACAGATTCATTTGGTAAAAGCATGGGATATAGCTTTCTCAGTGATTGTTACTGCATTTTTTGGAATTCCTTTCTGTTCATTTCAAAGGTAGACAACTGACCTTTTATTCAAACAGGAACTAATAATTAATTGATTGCAAGAAGTCTCTTTTATGGGAGGGGCATTCACCATGTTAGCCAAAAGACAGCATACAGATAAAATTCAGTAGACAATGAGCCATTAAAACATTCTCCCAGTTGATTATATGTAGTAGCATGTCACCATTTCCATCTCTGTTGTCCAACAGCAACTGAGAGACCACAGCTTACCAGCTCTCTTGCTTCTTCCAGCTGCTTCTCCACATTTGAAACCATTTGCCTCTTCTCATCTAAGAATAATAAAAAGAACAAGTGAAAATCTGGTGAAAATCAACTTCTACTATAAATATTTCACATAACTTCAGGGAGAATTAAGGGTTTCACCAGCAATTTATAATTTAGTCTGTATATTGCATTGCTTGAAGAACATGTTAAAGGAATGGCTCTTGTGGGTACATGTGCAGTGTAGGGTGGGGGAAGCTTTATACCAGTATTCATATTTTTGGAACTCAGTTTTACAGTAGTGCAAAAGGGGCCTTTAAATTTGGATAGAAAAAAAGGAGGTGATAAGACACACAAGTACACCAGGAAACAAAGCCAGAAGGGATGAAGACAAGTTATTCTAAGTCCCTATGAACTTTTCAGAAGGTGGAGGCTAGCAATCCTATTCATCTCTTTGTAAGTGTGTAAATTAAATACAGGTCACAAACAGGATAGGTTCTGTAGGTTTGTTCTTAAGTTGAATTTGCATCTAAGTCAGAACAGGTACATTTTAAGTATAACTCCAGATACACATACACACATACTCTTTGGATAGCATGAGGAAGAGTTAATGCCCCTGTGGTGTTTGTTCTGCTGTCTCTGATCCTGTTTAGAAGATTTTACCTCACTTCTTGTCTGTGTGAGACTTTGATTTTGAACATTTTGGCTGGTTGTGGAAACAAGGTTTGGTGATAAATCTCCAGTGGAGACATCTTTTCCTCGTGACCACTCTTTCAGGAGTGAATTTCCCTTCCTGGAGATAGATTTCTCTCGCTTCCTGTTGTCTCACTACCATTCTTAACAAGCAGTCACTTGTAAATCGGATGTTTGTAGCTTGGAGACTCCCTGTGTACTACTTAGGGTGAATCTACACTATAGAGATAATCCATTTGACCCTACTTTCACTGCCATGGCTTCACGCTGTGGACTCATGAAAGTTGTAGTTTTCCATGGCAGCCTTCTCTGCTAAAGAGTGATGGTGCCTTACCAGACTACAAATCACACACTTCCATAGCATGGAGCCATGGGAGTCAAAGTGCTATCATACGTCATCTATTACTGTATGCAAACCAGGCTTGTGAACTCCGGGTAAACCATGATCCATTTCTGTGTCCTGAATTGCGATGGAGGTCCCAATCAGTTTTTTGGGAGCCTCCCGAATTTGGGAGGACAGATATCCGTTTTCAATTTGGGAAGCTGAAATATTCATTTCCTATCCGGCCCATTGGTCGCAATGGGGGGGGGGACTTCTCACAGGCTCCCCTTCCTGTCATTTTAAGCATTGTGTTTGTCCTTATATTCTTCATTAAGACCTGGATTTAAAGCATCAAAATTAAAATACCATTCTTTCTACAATCCTTGCCCTTCTGTCTGCAGAGGAGACAGGATTAATGCTTTGTTAAGGCTGTTTTTTCTCTAGAGGAGACATGGACTGCAGGCTCATGCTCTCGCTCTCTCTGCAGTAGGTAGTTTTCCAAGGCATTTTCAGTAGGCTTCCCATTTCCCAGGGAAGGAAAAGGGATTGACCTGGAGGCATCCTACCCTGGGCTTCCTTTAAAAAGCCCTCTCTTCTCTCTTGGTTTGAAGGTGCTGGAGTGGAAAGGAGAACTAACGTGCCTCCCCCACCCCCCACACTTCAATCTCCTTTCTGCTTACAAATCAAGAAAGGGCTTAAGGAGCCTCACTTGTTTGAATCCTTTTCCTTCTAGTGGCTGCCTACCTCCCTGCACTATATGTGTAACCGAAAGAAGTTCCTCCTGCCATCTCAGCACTTTTAACCCTGTACCCCACTGCGCCGGCCGAACCAGTTTTTAACAGTGTCTTGATGTACTGATGTATTGTCATTGTTGTTATTTTGCTTAATTGTTTTGATTTGCTTTGTTATTGTTGTGTTATGTTTTCTATTGTATTGCGTTCTGAGGCTTCGGCCCGTGTAAGCCGCATCGAGTCCTTCGGGAGATGCTAGCGGGGTACAAATATAGTTAATAAATAAATAAATAATAAATAAGTCAGTTTTCAACAGCCACTGTTTTGTTGTGACCAGTAAAAAAAATGGTGGCAGAGTCCATGCCACTATGGGCTTCCAAACCAACTGAACAAGTCAAAGGCAAACATCCATAACCCTAATGCACACCCTTTAATGTATTTCCCAGCTCAGGAGGCTCTGAAGCCACACATTTCCTTAGGGAGGGAGATGGGAGGAGGATTGGCTCACAGAGTAAGTCATTCACACGGTACTCACACCCTCACCAAACCTTCAGAGTGAAAGAGAGGCACACAGGTTAAGATCCCACCACATGGTAAAGGAGGCACATGTTGTGCCCATCCGAACCTGGAAACTGCCCCCCCTCCTTCACAAGAAGCACATGTTTTAGGAGACATAACTGGGCTGCATAGTCAACAAACAGTCTGGGTTCAAGTGCAATAGAGAGCGGTGGCGTCAATAACAGTCCAAAGTTCTTCACAACAATCAAGGCCCAAGTTGGTTGGGTTTAGGCAAAAAAGTAGTTAAGCAGTCCAATTTCAAGCACTAAGCTAGTTATACAAGAGAGATTCCTTAGGTGCTGCTCTGGCA